CGTGCGCGGCTCTCCTCCGGGCTCGCAGGACCCGTGCTGGGGACCCCGGTGCCGCGTCACCCATGTCATCTATGTCACCTGCGGTGCGGGGAGCTCCATTCCCAGAAGGGCCTGGGCAGCCCTGCGCGGGCCGGACCTCTGTCCTCCGCGGGAGGTGCCCTGCCTGGCTGCGCTTCCCGCGTCCCCAGTAAGCCCCATTGGCAGGTCAGCGGGCGGCTCTCTCAGCCTCCTCAGCTGGGGGACTGGACGCTGACCCCTCTGGCCTCCCCACGTCCAGCCTGGCCTCTCCTGTCGTGTTCCCACAGGAGCAGAGCAAACCTGGTAGAAGCTGAATGGAGCCGGCGCGGTCATCCCAGGGCTCCGGAGGCCAGGGCGGGAGGATCGTGAGTTCAAGTCAGCCTCAGCAGTGAGGCCCTAAGGAGCTCAGTGAGACTCTGTCGCTAAAGAAAATGCAAAACAGGGCTGGGGTGTGGCTCAGGGGTCGAGTGCCCCTGGGTTCAATCCCTGGTACACCCCCCAAAATGCTAAATGGAATCTGGCCTGCCCTGGCTCACCCCAGCCACCTGTACTTCAGGGACCAGGGGACCTGCCCCTCCCCTCCCCTGCAAGCAGCCTGGGATCACCCTGGGCTGCACCTGTCACGGGCTGTGTCACCCCTCCCCAGAATGCCAGCCGCTGCGGATGGAGGTCTGGCCTGTCACTCCTACGTCCCTGGATCTCAGAGCAGAGCCTGGCGCACGCTGGTGCCCAGAGCCAGTGGTGGAATGTGCAGGAGCGCGTCCCCGAGGACCCCAGCCTGAGCAGAAGGGAGGACCCTGGGAAGAGGAACAGAGAAGGCCTTATAAAGCGCCTACTGTGTGCCCAGAGCCTTCTCACTCCCATCACCTGCAGGACTCACAGGTGAGGAAACGGAGCGCCCGCCTCCGACTCCACAGAGCCTCCTCTCCAGGGCTGGGCGGGAGTGACAGGAGCTGGGCGTCTACCGTGTCAGGCTGACGGGAGGCCGTGCCTCCAGAGGGGCGGGCAGTGCTCAGCTTGGCCACACGGCCCCCCCGTCAGCCTGGGTCCTGGGGGTCCCTTCCCGGGTGTCAACAGGACATGACAGGGACACTCAGGAGCAGCTGTGTGCGTGCCAGGCTCCCAGGGCCTTCTGCAGACACGCCCCTGGCCCTAGCTTGTCCCTCCCAGGGAAGCTGAGGCTCACGGGTGTTGGTGTGGCCAGGGACACGAAGGCAGCCCGGGAGGGAGCACTCTGACACCAGATTCGGGGTGAGGTCACCTTTCGAGGAGGGTGGGGCTACCCGTGGGGGAGCACGTCCGCCACAGCCTCCCTTGAGGTGGACGCGGCTGCTCCGGCTGCTTTCTGAACCTTTCTGCGAGTTGAAAATGATAGTCCCCAACAGCAAGTGGCTGCAGAGCCACATCACACAGAGTGACTAACAGTGGACAGGGGCCAGCCTTCAGCCACCCCGATGCTGAAGCCAGCTGGGCGTGGGGCCCTCCCTGCACCCCTCAGCCTCCGGCCCATCTCAGTGACGCAGCTGTGGTGGCGTTTGGCAAGTGGGGCTGCCCACGGTGACAACAGCCAGGCTCCCTCCGTCCCCGCCAGCCCCTCCTCGGCCCTACCTTGCATCCTGGTGCCATCACCACGGTGTTGCAAGTGTGTTCAGTGACCACAAAGTCAGGTCCTGTCAGTGCTGGTCACGGCCCTCCCAGGAATAGTACACAGTTGGTGCTCAATAAGTGTCTGCAGGATGAGCCAACCAGAGCTGAGCAGAGCAACTGCGAACTGCGCTGCTTATTCCATCCCGTCCCCGCCCTCCCTCCCAGGTAGTGACTGAGCACCTACTACGCGCCAAAGTCCCCAACCCCCTGGAGCCGAGTGGTGCACGACCCCGGGGAGCAGGTGCAGAGGGGCAGCTGCAGAGGGGCCAGGGGGGGGTCCCATGCTACCTCCCAGGCGGCTCACCCACACCTTGATGCAGCAGGGGACGCACCGGTCACCAGGCACAGACTGTCAGGGTGTCTGGAGGGACGGGGACCTTCGGGGACCTTCAGGGAGCAGGAGACACGCTGTGAAAGAGGAAACCCCTGGTGCTGAGCAAGTGCAGGCTGGCCTCGCCCTCAGCCGGGAAGGTCCTGAGGAAGTGAGCCGTGCCCTTGCCGGGCCCGGCCGGCGGATCCAGAGCCTGGGAGGAACAGCGTCCCCTTCCTGGCGGGCACAGCTGGGCCAAGACCGGACGCGTCACCCCGCCCTGGAAGCTGGTGGCTGGGTGGAAACGCCCCGCCTTGGCTCGTCCCCTGGGGAAGGCGCTCCAGGCTGGCTGCCCGTGCGTCCTGCGGCCACCCCTTCCCCTGGACCGCGGCTCCCCCAGGCCCCCAATGCAGCAGGGTTAGGGTTAGGGTTAGGGGGCAAGAGGACATCCCAGGCCCCCTTCCCCAGGGTCCTCGGGATCTGGAAAGCACCCTCTCTGGGGCTGGGGTGGGAAGGAGACTCCGCCGCTCCAGACCCTGAGTCAGGGACCCCGAGGGCCTTGGCAGGAAGTGACCCGCAGCCTCACGCACAACGGAGGACACTGAGGTCCTCGCAGGCTCAGGCTGTCAGCCGCTGCGCCACGCCTCGGCCCGGGCTTCCCGGGGTCCTCCGACAGCCCCAGGGAGCAGGCCAGGCCAACTCGGAGACGCAGCTGGAGGCCACGGCACCAGTTAATGGGGAGCAGGTGGCTTAGGCCTGTCCCCTGCGGGAGGAGGAGGATGGACGAGGGGCTGGGTCAGCTCCACGTTCAGCACCCTGGGTGGCCCGGGGCAGCTGGCAGAAGCCCAGCCACCTGCAGGTACCAGGTCCAGCCAGAGAGGCACAGGCCAGCCACCAGGCAACAATACACGTGAGCGGGTTAAACGGGTCTGTTAAAAGCAGAGACTCTCACGTTAGACCGAAAACCAAATAAATATGCGCTGCCCAGCTGTTCCAGGGCCCGTTTCAGATTCTCATGGCAGAGCTGGGGAGGAGGCCACCGTAGAGCACGTGCCCAGCAGGGGACCTGGGTTTGATCCAGCACCTCCCCCACCCCCCACCCAGATCTCACCTGCTCAGGAAGGGGATCGGGAGAGTCCTGCCGTGGAGGCCTGGGTGGAGCCCGAGGGGTGGAGACGCGGGGCCTGGGGGAGCTGGACAACAGATGGCCCAGAGCGTGAAGCGGCCAGGCCGGCGGCCAGGCCAGGCAGGTCAGCGTGGAGATGAGCTGGGTCTGGTTTGTCCAGAGCCGGGGGCAGCCACTGATCCGGGCTCTCCCAGCGACCCCCAATGGACTATGGGCCTTCCCAGCCCGGGGCCTTCCTCCTGTCCCAGAGCCTCAAGGTGGCCGACCCCCACGTCCCCACCGGGAAGAAGACCCACCAGGACGGGTGCCGGCGCTGACGCTTCATTGAGTTCTGTGGTCAGGTTGGTCCTCTCCTCTTTTCACGTCTGTGTGTGTGTGTGTGTGTGTGTGTGTGAGATCGCGGGGGACTGGAACTTCATCCCCAGCCTCCCCTTTGGTCTTTCACCAGGGATTGAACCCGGGGAGCTAACCTCTGAGCCACTCCCCAGCCCTTTTTATATTTTATTTGGAGGCAGGGCCTCCCTGAGTTGCTGAGACTGGCCTCGAACTTGCCGTCCTCCTGCCTTGGCCTGCCACGTCACTAGGACCACAGGCCTGTGCCACCACACCCAGACTCAAGTTCGTTTTTTCCCATTTTACAGATAATAAAACTGAGGCTCAGAGAGACGGAGGGGTCTGCCCAGGGTCAGAAATCCAGGGCAGGGCTGAGTTGGGACTCAGTGTACTGGACACTGTCCTTGTGGCTGACCGCACCTCGGAAGTGGCAGAGACCGCAGAGACCTGGAGATAGCTGGTGAGGTCAGCGTCGGGCCCTGGTGACCCACCCTTGGGCCAGTGGTTTCAGCGCTGAGCAGGCAGCTTCTTAACGGGTCTGTGGTGAGCCATGGACAGAGGAGGAGACTGAGGCTCAGAGTGGGGAAGTGACCATCTTGGTCGTGGCCTGAGCCCTCCAGTGGGCCTGGTACCGGGTGTGTTCAGTGAATGGTGACCCCCTAGGAAGGGCCAGCGGAGGAGGTGGAGGCCTGGGTTGGGGTGGGAGCAGGAGCAGGGACACCAGTGGGCTCCTAGCCCTGCCCCTCACGGCGCCCCAGACATTCCTGAGGGGCCTGGGCCGTGGGAAGACCCCGCGTCTCTTCAGGCCTCACCGAGGTCCTGCCCCAAACAACAGGAAGTGCCAGGCGGACCCCACCCCCACCAGGCTGTGGGAAGCGCTGGGACTGCAGGGCTCCCAGCACGCGCAGCCTCCGTGGGGCTGTGTGACCTTAGGCAAAGCCTTTGCCCTCTCTGGGCTTTGCTCTCCCCAGTTCTAGTCACAGGCTCCAGGGCAGAGATGCTGTGCCGCCTCTGGATGTGTGACCTTGGGCAGTGGCCGGGCCCCTCTGAAACCTAGCTCCCTCTTTTGCACCTGGGGACAGTGGCCACACCTGGGGGACAGTGGCCACATTTGGGGGACAGTGCCCACACCTGGGGGACAGTGGCCACACCTGGGGACAGTGCCCACGGTGCACGCTCTCTCCCCGGAGCCAGGGTCACCCCACTCAGAGTGTCCGAAGTGACCTCGGGGCCCTCTGGCCAGGGCCAGCTTCCTGGGCTCAGGACCTGGCGGCTCTCTCCCGCCTCAGTCCCCTCCGTGAAGCAGGCAGAGCTGGGA